TGTTATATACTAACCATAGTCTTTCTCTTAAGGTTCAGTCATTTTCTCATAAAAATTAAATGGTCTGTTTTTCAGCACCTAGTTCCCCTGCCTAGGATTTGCTGCACTTCCTGCAAGGGACTTAAAATTTTCCACTACACATACACTTCAAAAGTGTATCCTAATATAATACCTGAGTGGTCTGTGAGTCAGCTTCTCGCTGTATGGACCCTTCTACCCCTCAGGGGGGCTAACTGGCCCCACATACAGCCCTGTTATTACAGGTGGGCGCCCCCCCCCCCCCGTCCAAATTTCTGGGGCTCTACCTGCTACTGGACGTGTGACACCATTGTGGGCTGGGTGACTCCCCCCCTCTGGCAACATGGCTACCAATGAGTACCCTGCTGGCTCTACGACGTCCTGTAGGATTAATGCTGAGGGTGACCCCCTCCTGCTTCCTACACTAATGCTCCGGCAATGTCCTGTTATTATCATACCGAGGGGGAACCCCTCCTACAGTCTGCACTGCTGGAACTGCAGCGTCCGGGTATTCCCAGTACCCCTCCCACTGATTGAGCTTCTGTTCTTACAATGCCCTGCTATACGCAGATTCTGAGGGTGACCCCCTCCTGTGGACTACTCTGCTGGACCTACAGGGTCCCGTTATAACCATAATGAGGGTGACCCCCTCTCGCTGACTACACTACTGGGTGTACAGACCTCTATGATACCACACGGAGGGTGACCTACAGCACTGCTGGCACTGCAATGCCCGGTTATGGTTATATGAGGGTGACCCCCTCCTGCCGTCTGCACTGCTGGACCGGCAATGTCTGGTTACTTTATTATACGGCTAACCACTACGGCACTACTGTACCTACAGTGTCCGATTATGTTCAGACTGAGGGTGACCCCCTCCCCTGCTGGCCTATACTGCATCGTATGCTTGTGCTTGTTGGGTGACCCCCTCTTGCACGCTGGGTGACGCCCAGCTGTCCGCACCAGGTATCCCTCCGACAGTGTTACCTCTATGGCAGTTGTGCAATCACGACTGAAGGACAAATCTCCCGTACCCAGAAGGTCACTTAGCCTGTCCTCATGCCGCCCCGCTGACCTCACTGCCAGAAACCATCGGTACCCTACAGGGGACACTCCACCGGCCATCCTAGACGCTACATCAAGCACCCCTGGTACTCGTTGGCTAACGGATGGATTCATCAAGAGGATCAGTCTTCATGACGGAGTCCGGAAAGGACACCGCAAACACCTGACACAGGGTTTGCACTCTATCTGGGACTAACCACTGGATGTCGATGACACGCGGACACAGATGTTTCCTCGGGACGAACGGCGCGTTACAGCTTGGAAAGCGGAGAAGACTAAATTCCCACTGGGAATGGACCGATATGACTTATAGGTATCACCTAGTTGGTTTCTACCTCTGAGAACCGCAAAACGGCCCCTGTCCAAGCTGGAAATCAAACCCAAGTGCTGGGTCTGCTCTCCGGAGTTACCCTCACGTACAAATTGAGCTGACACGTCTCTATTCATAGGGTTCCCCCTTAACTAGCCCCAGAGGTCTCTTGGACCGTGCCCGGACTCCGGATCAAGGTTGCGGAACCCTTGACCGTTCCATGAGCGATACGCATGACCAAAAGAGGCGTCCATTCCGACTCATTCTGCAGTTGCCCTGCTGGGCGAAGGGTGCGGTGGAGTGGACTCCCCCCCCATCCCCAAGCTACATGCTCCCAGTGCATATGTCGTCTGTTGACACTTCGAGACAGAGGGCACTCATCCCCTCAGAGAGCTGCTCGGCATGGACAATTGGTTCTCTCCCTCAAATCCACATGAGAGAAACCCGCATGGATTTTGCCATCAACATGGACATATTGAATCTGACTCACTCCCAGTTTCTGGTCTTTCATGGAATGTTCGGTCCAGGCGGTGCTCCGCCTCCCGAGGACCAAGATGTCCATCTTCAAGGAAAATACCAGGCATATGCTCCGCAACCCACGGGTCACATTTAGGGGCCCAACCCGGTCAATTGACCGGTTGCTATTCGCCATGGAAGCCATACCTCCAGGATCCGGTACTATCAGCCGCTCCAACATGACACTTTCTCGGGTCTTCGGCCTGGTATGACCGAATCATGTGACCTTCGGATGAAGCTCATCTAAAACTTATTTGATGATTCAGACATTGGGGAACCTGGCATACCTAGGAGTTTCGGACCCCAACCAACTTCGGCCTGGACTCTGGAGTCCGGAGGAGGGACCTCTTTACGCCAACTGCATGGAACTACCTGCAGGTTTGATCAACATTTGCAGTATTGCTCGCTACCTTTTGGCATGGACTTATCACAGGTTGCCCACTACGGTCTGCAGTCGGATCTCATGTAGGATCGCTATCTATAGCTTCTGGACAAGTATTCGTCATTTGTGACAGAGTCTGCGGGACGAGACACTCATGTGGCGGATGGCTTCACCCGACCATGGAGAGACCCCAATGATTGGTTGCCTTACCCTCCGGGGTCTTGAGTACTGGCATGATTACATTCGGTGCGAACCGCCATACGGAGCGGTTCTCCAGCCGGACCCTCGGCGAGGGACGAGTTTTCCAAGCTTGGTCTCCTTCAGGGTGTACGCATCCCGTTTACCTACAGGATACTTTGGGCTTTGCTTCAGACCGAATTCCTGGAAGTGTTGTTTCGTCTGGCCACACCACTTTGGAGGAGTCCTGCGTGCTTTCACCTTTTTGCTGGAGTTTGCCATGGGAAGGCAATCTACGACTCCCTGTCTCTTAATGTCCCATGGCGGTCCTTATCATGGCTGTCCCCATTGTCTGGCTGAGTTGCCCTCTTGGGGTAGGATCGTATGGGGTCATTCACATCCTATGCCAGCTAGTGGACGACTCGTGCGTTTTCTCAAGATTCTGGCATTGCTAAGGATCTCTTGGTCTGCAGTCTACCAAGAGGAGTATACCGTACGAGAGCCCTATCTTTCGCTATTCCTCAAGTCTAGTGGTATCGTGTGTTCTGCATTTCCTTGAGGAATGACCTGATGACAAGGACTTGCATTGCACCAGATTTTTCCGCTTACGGTTTCCCCAGTACATCTTGTATTTCATTGCGTTCTGACGTCATGGTATCGACATAGTGTCTTCTTCCTTCTTGCCGTTCAGTACATCGGCTTCTGCTCCACGCATATTTCATTTTTATTCATCCTCTGTGTCGTACCCCTATTCTCCGGATAGGCCACGGCTCTGTTGACAGATTGTACACGACCATGTAGATCCAGGATCTGGTTCTTTCGTCCGTCTACTCATGGACAGCTGTTTATTTCTGCGTACGGCAGTTTTGGACTGGTGGATCCTTTCATTGGCTGACCTTGAGTTCCTCTGGGACACTTTTGGTTCGGGGTGCCTTCACCTCAACAACTTTGGAAGCCGTTGGGTCCCTTCTGCATTTTCTCTACACTGCTGCTTGGTTTAGGGTATAGTTTTTTCCATTCTCCTTTTATTTCAGTCCTCCTATCTCATATTGCTTCTGGTTCTACTATTTGGGCGTTAAAATTGCAAATATGAAGCCTCCTGTCCTGCCATAAAATTAGGGATTATTCTAGCCTCGAATATTCCCCCCCTCCTTTTTTTTTTTTACGTTCCCTCCCTGGATTTGGGTTTTATTCTATTATAAATAATTGGGGATATTGTTATGTTTTGTGAATGCATGGTTTTACATAATAAAGGTTATTTCTAATATTCAGTGAGGATTTTCCGTGTGCGTTTTATTCATCATGTTTGTGTTGTAATTGTTTCGTCAATGCCTTTTAGTTTAGGTACATACTAGGCCTTCGTAAGATCTGTAGACTTTGTTTATTTATCAGGTATTATGATGTGCAAGTGATATTGTATGGATATGACATCTTGCCTTGACTGTTTACTTTCACGATGTTTTCTGTTTTCTTGCAGTGTAATCTGTTATCTCTCTGGGCTTGACGATTGTTTCTCCGGATGTGTCTGCTACAAGGTGGCATTAGTTGGTTTCCTTGCTCTCCTGCTCGACCTCATCAAAGAAAGAGGAAGTGGAAGAGCCTGCTTAGGGGTTTTATACTACTGTTGCTTTGTTCTGATTGGTTGTTTTGAAAAGTTCTGTTAACTGTTTCTTTGCTGCTGGAGGTTTCAGTAAAGAAGGTAAAGCAAATATGAAGCCTCCTGTCTTTAATAAAATTTAGATTATTCCCTCACCGAGGCTAGAATAATCCCTAATTCTCAGCAATGACATTGTACCATAATCATTGAAATAGCACTAAAACTACTGAACACTGTGTGCATTCAGTGACAGTCTAAAATACAACTGGAAGAAATGATCAATGGTATAAGATGCTAGAGTACACTTTTATCCTTTTTTAGTTACTGGATGGGCCCCTCCCAGCTTTGTCCAAAATATCCCCTTTACTAAAATACAAACGGAGATGTTTAATTTACCATAGAACTACAGCTTTACTCAAGCCTAGATATCAGGGTGAACAGTGATTAAAATAAGCAATAATAAAATAAGCACATAATTAAAGTCTATCTGCTTCATTAGACTTTAGGGAGGCACCTACTGGCCATCTTTGGGAGTTACATTGATATTACATTGTTTAATCATCTTTAACTCT